AACTTAGGTGTGTTTTTTGACACTGATCTGAAATTTGAAAAACAGTTGAAAAAAGCTGCTCTTCACCACAGCACTTATCTAAGGCAAATAGCCAAATTAAAATCTATGCTCTCGTTTAAGGATTTGGAGATAGTTACTCACGCCTTCATCACTTCCAGATTTGATTATTGCAATGCACTTTATATGGGTCTCAATTATTCATCACTGAATCGCTTGCAGTTAGTCCAGAATGCAGCTGCGAGGTTGCTGACTGGTACTAAGAGGAGAGAAAGTATTTCTCCTGTCCTAGCATCTCTTCATTGGTTACCGGTGCAGCATAGGATCCATTTTAAGATTTTATTATTTGTGTATAAAGCATTAAATGATCTAGCCCCATCATACTTGTCCGAACTTCTCAGCTATCAGCAATCCTCTCGCTCTCTCAGATCCTCTGATAAACTTTTCTTGCATATACCTCGCTCTCGCTTGAAATTTAAGGGGGATCGGGCTTTCTCTGTAGCCGGTCCTCGACTATGGAACAGCATACCTCTGGACATTAGATCTGCGCCTTCCCTTCCTGTTTTTAAATCCCGCCTGAAGACTTATCTGTATTCCTTGGCTTTTGGTTGAAATGTATGTTTGTGTATGTTAATGTGTTTTGTATTGATTATGTGTTTCTGAGTCATTTCTTTTTATTCTTTTAATCTCTATATTTACTTATTTGTATATGTACAGCACTTTGGCATACACTAGCTGTTTTTAAATGTGCTATATAAATAAATTGACCTTGACCTTGACCTATAGGTACTACACAGCATAAAATAAAACTTTATGCGGATGACGTTCTGTTATTTTTATCTTCAACTGAGTTATCAGTACCTCCTCTCATTAATATTATTACTCTATTTAGTTTGTTTTCTGGATACAAAATTAACCTAACTGTCTGAAGCCATGCCTCTTGGTTGCTTAATTGATATGCCAAGTACTATCTCCGTTTCCCTTTAAATGGTCCCCTGCAGGATTTAGATACTTGGGAATCTTTGTGACTCCTAACTTTAATCAGATGCATAAAATTAATTTCACGCCCTTGTTTGAGAAAACAAAATCTTGATCATTGGAACTCCCTTCATTTCATGGCTGGGTAGGATATCACTAGTTAAGATGAATGATCTTCCTAGGTTGCTTTATCCTATTCATATGATCCCAGCTGTGTTCTCTAAAAGGGTTTTAAAAGATTTGAATGGATGGTTAAGCTCTTTCATATGGAGCAAAAGACGACCAAGGCTGAAGATGTCAGTTTTACAACTGCCAGGATCTAAAGGGGGTTTAGATCTACCCAATATTAGAACATATCAGTTAGGTGCTCATTTGAGAAATATTTCTAAGTGGATAACAAAAGATGTCTCCTCAGTATGGTTAGATATTGAAACAAGTTTATCCAAATATTCATTACCAGACCTATTGTGTTTTAAAGGTTTTAAAATCATTAAAGAAATTTGTTTTAATCATGTTACTCTTAATACACTTAGAGCA